CAGGATTAAATCTTGTGAGGTATTATGGAAGACTACTGTGATCTTGTAACCATGTTTGAATCGTATAATACAATGATAGGTAATAAGGATGCCAACAAAAATTGGAGGTGCATTTCTGAAAATGTTATTAGAACCAGGAGTGTTAAATACTACTAAGCATTCCCAGCACATTGTGGTGCGTTCTGCTCAGACGTGCGGAGGGGTGAGCCCAGATACATGGCGGTGTGGATTGGCCTCCTAAGCGTGGGCTGGAAGAAGCTGGCTATAGAGAGACACGTGCTGCATGAGTCCCTTTCTGTGAACCTCCAGGACATGCAAAATCCATCTGTGATGATAGGAATCAGAGCAGGGTTGCCTCTGGTGGCGGTGGGAGGCACGGGTCGGGGAGCAGATTGGAAGGGGCGAGAGGACTTCGTGATGGGGAATGTTCTGTATCTCGGTTTGGGAGTTGCTTGTAAGTGGTCAGGACATTGGTCGGAACTCACTGACCTGCCCTTAAGATTTTGAATTTTACTGTATGTGAAAGAAATCCTTTAGATGCGCGAACCTGTGTATCATCGTTACGTCCTGAATCCCACATTTTAAACCATGGCAAATTGAAAAGAAACCTTGGAAACTACATTTATGATCTGGAAGCCAGAGGAGGAGTTGTCAGTTTTTAATTTAATCTGCTGGATGCCTGAGGAGCAAGTCATTTGGTGATTCGTGCGGCCAGCACTTCTCAGGGCTCCTCTGATCTGCTTTTTCTGGCGAGCCGGATCCCAATGACGAACAGATGGAGGACACCGCGATGTGGTGGCTTTTACGTCCATTTTGCAGCGTGGCCTTCCGGGTGACAGCCGTTCTTGATAAATTCTGAGAACGCTGAGAACTTAGAAAAGGCAGCCACAGCAGATTGGTGTGGGAATTTTGGGCTAAAGCAGCTGAGTCGTGAGCAGAATAGGGGAGCAGAATTCCTTGATGGTGTGTAGCCTTGTTAGTGAGGGAAAAGGAAGTGTCTGTGGGGAGGGTTGTGGTCGGTGACTCAGGCACACATGGCTGAAGCTTCAGGAGCTGGTGGGAGGGAGGGTGGCCGGTCCCTGACTCAGGTGTGACGGCTCCGAGGGCGCCCATCCAGCCCCAGGGGACAGCGCTGGGGGTCATTGACTTTGCCTGTTTGATCTGAGAGCCAGAGAGGCAGAGTCAACGCTGCCATCTTCGGGGTTCCAAGTGATGACACATTCACTTCTTGTAGGTTGGCCATATTAGAAGAATAATCAGTGATTTCTGCTTTACATTACAGAAAAATAATGTGTGTATATTCATGGTGGGGATACAGAAATGTAAACTGAGTCAATGCTGTCTAACTTGCCCAGTGCTGTTTGTATTTACTTATTTATATATAACTTTTCTTTAATTCAGGAGATCCAGCAGCGGCACGGGCTAGCCAATTCCATCTCCTCCTACCTTATTAAACCAGTGCAGCGCATAACCAAGTACCAGCTCCTTCTAAAAGTACGTGTGATGCATCCTCAGCCTGCAAAGTGTATGATTGGTACATTGCTATTGTGACTTTTTTTTTTATCTGTAAAGTTCCCTGAATTTTAAAAATGACACCTACCATGTTTTGTTTTAATTCATTGCCATTTATTTCCCTGACCAGTCTCTTAGTGCAGCAGGTAAATAAGAGTATATGCCTCAGTTATGCCCCTAAACGTCACTGACCAACCCTCGTCAGTAACACAGAATGAGAAAGAAAAGAGAAATTGTCAGTCCTGGAAATTTATACCATGGCTCCTAATATGGCTGCTGACTACGGACCAGGCACTGTGCTGTACGCTTTGCATAGATGAAGCCAACCTCACACAGTGCTGTCTGCAAGGTGGGCCCTGGCCTTAGGGTGGGGCGTGCCCCGAGTCGTCACCGGTCCCCACCACCTGGGCGTGGCTCTGCACTCAGGCCAGGCTGGTGCCCAGGTTTCCCCTGAACCCAGAAGCACTACCCTCTGGTCTCGTCATTTGTCGCGCACAAATGCATACAGTTTGTTTGTACAAATCAAAGTATTTGAGTCACACTGACCTGCTTTTTCTTGGTTACGAATGATTATAACTAAAGTCACACTTGTAAAAGTTCTAATAACTATTAGTCTTGGCAATTGGGTGGTAAAGAAAACTTAGAATTTGTGGTAAGAATGTCTTAGAGTGCATTCTATATGTAATTGACACATATTTTCTTGACTACAAGAAAAATAATCTACAGCCTCCATCTAATGGTGTTTACCCTGCCATTTCATTGGCTGGTGAATGTTAGTAATTAAACATTAGAATGTACAAGTCATTCATCCCAGGAACAGTATCTTATGAACCTGTGTCCCCAGTTCAGTCCTAGCACAATAGTAGGAGGCAATAATGACATTCAGAAGAGGGAGTTATGAATACCTGAAACTCTTCTGTACTCTCTTTATTGGTAAGAAAAAATGGAGAAATAGTTAGGAAGTGGCTGCCTTCCTTGTGGTTCCCTTCTGGAACTTTCTGTCAGAGCAGCTCTCTTGCCCCTTGGCATCAGGATCTCCCTGAGGGACTGTCTGACTGTCCTGTCCCTGCAGAGACTTGTGGGCTGAAACTCCACCCTGGAAGCCGAGAGGCTAAGCTGTTTATCTTAACATTTGCTCTTCACTTCCTAATTCCGCAAAGGCGGTCACCTCTGGCTCCCTCAGGATTGAAGGACTTTGTTTTAGCCCGTGGCTCTCTACAGACCGTTCCTCAGTGACCTCATGTGTGGTCATTCGCAGGCTGGGCCTGGAACTCCTAACCCTCCCTTGATTCTGAGGAGGGTCCTGGAGAACAGGAGTAAGTGGTGTTGATCCCCAGCCAGGAGCTCCTGCCAGTGCAGCTGGCCTCCGTGAGTGGAAGCCCTCTTTGCCATGCTGCTCAGAATCATAGGTAAACGCCATCTGGCCGTGAGTGAAGGTGCCTGTCCGTAGCTCAGTTGCTCCAGACCTTTGGGTGTGAGGCCAGAGCTGACCTCACTGTCATGTCCCTCTCTTGAGTCCTGGGACCCAGAGTGCTGTTGCTGTGGCACTGCCTGACAGTAGTCATTAATGTACAGGTGAGGTGTCTTGGAGCCCAGAGGAGTCAGAATTTGCTGTCCTTGCTATCATTCATCAATGATGGTGACCCTGAGATCCGCGACGTAATCACTCCCAGGGAGTATGATGCAATCATGGGAGCTTCTAAACATCCTGCAGGCAGAGGGTGTTGCACCATCAGTGTTCCTACAGCATCACTGCTCCTGCCGCACACTGTGCAGTTCCAGGTTCGATGGCCCTGCGTTCATGGCACCAGAGGCTCAGAGTCATGCTGGGCCCTGTGGAAGCTCAGTGGTACTGGCAGGACCCTGGCAGGACTTCAGCCACACCAGTAGCTGACTGCTCTGCTCTCCTAATGGAATATTTTTATTTGTCATTTTGGGGGCTTGGTAGTTGACATGTACACCAATTTTATCTTAACTTATGACTCCCCCTGGTTTCTCTGATGTGAAGAAATGTCCTGATTGAGCAGGACAGGCCTGTCTGTCCATTGGACACAAAGACAGTAATTCGTCTCCTGTGAGACTATATGCCCAGGAGACCACAGTCTGTTTTTTTTATCTTAAAAATCAAAGCTCTTTCATTTCTGCAAAGATCTTGGTGGTAGAGCATGTTGCAGTCTTCGCTAGTTCATGGTCTTGGTCTTCTGCAGGAGCTCCTCACGTGCTGTGAGGAAGGCAAAGGGGAGATCAAAGACGGCCTGGAGGTGATGCTCAGTGTGCCCAAGCGAGCCAACGACGCCATGCACCTCAGCATGCTGGAAGGTACCGGACGCCCCACACCTGTGTGCGCTTCCTGCGGACGTCTGAGAATGGATTTCCCTTTCCCTGAAAACCTTGGCTTCAGGCCTCTGTGTTTACTTAGGAGTAAGAGTCTAGATGCGAATGTCTTCTTTTTTAAAGAATTGGTTTCATTGCTTCCCTGAAGATCACGTGAAATGCTTCCACCTAACCACCTGTCCCCGTCCCATCACTGGGAATGGCCTCTCCCTACTCTGAGCTTCCTATCGCCTGGTCTCTGTTAGGTGATGGGTTCGGATAGATCAGTCCCCTAAGATGAGAAAATCCTTAAAGGGGCTTGTTGCTTCCCCATCTCTGCATCCATTGCATCACGTGCCTGAGCCTGGAACACGTAGCGAGTACCACACAACTGCTTATGCAGGTGAATGTGGTATATAACACGGTAGAGAATCAGATAAATACACTTTAAAATGTTGCCATTATAATTTCTGTGAATGCTTCTGCTTACGAAGGCGATTCTGTGTTCCAGAGCTTAACTCTTACTCTCAGGTTACACATTTACAAGTAGCGCTGCTGGCCTGCCTGTGTCATTATTGCTGGTAGCACTGAGCAGCACACTGGTTAGGGCAAAGGTGCTGCTCTTGGTCACAGAGACCAACAGTCAAGGCCAGGCGGCATGGCTTTCTTTCTCTGGTGTAAAATGCGGAGCTGGCGTGGCAGCCCTTCCTGACGCCAGGACCCGGGCTCTGCTCCTGCTCGTTTCTCTCCACGCCTCGGATGTGCCTGGCTGGCTCAGCTCAGGATGTGTCTCTAGACCAGCCGTGGGCAAACTACGGCCCGCGGGCCGGATCCGGCCCATTTGAAATGAATAAAACTAAAAAAATAAAAGACTGTGTACCCTTTTATGTAATGATGTTTACTTTGAATTTATATTAGTTCACACAAACACTCCATCCATGCTTTTGTTCCGGCCCTCCGGTCCAGTTTAAGAACCCATTGTGGCCCTCGAGTCAAAAAGTTTGCCCACCCCTGGTCTAAACTGTGTTAACCTTGCATCGGGCAGGAAGTGGGGGGGTGGGGTGGAGCAGGGAGCAGCTAGATGTCATACATGTGACTCTCCCCATGCGGCCTGTAGGTGTGGGGCTCCCCGAGCTGCAGAGGATGCTGGGAAATGGAGTGCTCATTTGAGGGACATGGAGGGGGCTTTTGCTATTAGGGAAGAGGGGGAAGTGGAAGTTGGGAGACAATTAGTCCCCACCTGCCCCAGGAATCTTAGAGTCCTGGCAACGGTCCCTTCCATGAAGAGATGAGCATTCATTAGCGAAAGCCAGCCAGTGGCCAGAGCATGACTGATTCTCATGAAGAAGTTGCGTGCAGAGGGCAAACTCCAGAGAGATGAGTACCCAGAAGGAAGGCTAGACGGTCTTATGGAAAGGCCGGGACTGCTGAGGAATGTCCTGGAAGGGTGTTGTAGGCCCAGGAAGCAGCAGATCAAGACGCGGGCTGGGAACGTCAGGGAATCATTCTGGGCGGAGGAGGTCTGTACGAGGAGTGTTGGGAGTGCAGGTGTCGAGGCATGGCATTCTCAGCTGGTGAGAATGCCACCCTAAGGAGCTAGAACATAAGGAATAAAGCCAAGAGGAATCCCTGCTTTAAAAAAAACAAAAAAACACGAAAAATGTATTAAAGTCTTGTTTCAGGAAGAATTAGCCTTTCTTGGATGGGCCAGTGCCGGGGAGGCAGGAGTCAGGGGCCCAAATGGAAACGCTAATCTGAGATTTAATTGATGGGCATTTTACAAACATTTAATAATCATAATGCTGTCCTTCTTATTTTAAATTGATTGTGACTCCTTTTTTATGTTGTAGGGTTTGATGAAAATATTGAGTCTCAGGGAGAACTCATTCTGCAGGAATCCTTCCAAGTGTGGGACCCAAAAACCTTAATTCGAAAGGGTCGAGAACGGCATCTCTTCCTTTTTGAAATGTCCTTAGTTTTTAGTAAAGAAGTGAAAGATTCCAGTGGGAGAAGCAAGTACCTTTATAAAAGCAAATTGTTTGTAAGTATTGGCATTCGGAATTTTAAGTTTAAAGGTAACACAATTGCAACATTTTTGTAGATTGAGAAAAATTACTCTTTGTTGCCTTCAGGTTATCCTAAAATGTGGAAAGTCCAAAATTGTCATTTCTTCAGTGAAATTCTTTGACAGCTATGAGTCCACTAGAGGGCGCTCCTGAGTTTGCGTTTTCTTAGACTTAGGAGACTTGCTTTTTCTAAATTCCGTAGACTCATAACTACAGGATAAAACACATTTTGTAAGTGAATTTAAACCATTTGCCTTTCGTGTACCTTAACTAGTTTTATAAATACACAAAATGATTATATCTCACTATGATTTTGTGCAGTACTCATATCATTGTAATTAATTTTTTATTCACCAACACTGGAACATACTTATGCAGCCTTACAGGGTGGCTCACTGTGGGATCTTAGTGACAAAATTTGATATATTTTCATTAAAAATAAATTTAAAATAAATATATGGGTTTTACAATAGCAAAATATGATTATTGGAGAAAAATATATGTAAGCAAAAATCGTTTTAAAGACCCACAATCCCACCTGTTTAGAGACAGCTGTCCTTGAGTGCTTGGCAGATACAGTGATGCATTTGAATTCTTACTTGTCATTGTACTTCCTGGCAAGAGAAACACACCTAGTGCCTTTTTTCCATTCGGAGCACATCCAACCAGTCTCTCTATAAAATCACATGTCAACTCAGAAAAGTCTCAGGCACATGTCGTCCCTAGGGTCCACTATATTTCCTTCTTTCCTTAGTAGCAATATCTCAGAGGACTGTCATCAAAAAATTTCTGGACAGGCTCAGGCAGTGGGAGGATTGGGCAAAACTAAGGGAAAATCACCATCAGAGAAAGAATAGAAAATGCATTAGAATTTGGTTTATTTATACAAGGTATGGCAGATTGCTTATAAACATTGATAGATATTTGGAATTTGGATAATTTATATTGTATTCGTTACATGTTTTTATGGTATCCATATGTTAATCAAATTCCCAAAGTAATAAAATACTACCAAGTGTAGAGAGCATCTGAATAATAATCTGGAATTTGCAAGTTCAAGCTAATGGTTTTCATACCCTTTCCTTTGGCTAACATCCTGTTTGAGATTGTCTTTTGGACCACAGCCACCTTACCTCATTTTAGATCATATTCTAACTGGAGAGAAAAAATGCAGCATTGCTGGCTAGTAATCTCACTAGCTGGCTCTAATCTAGCCTCAGAGACCAAACTAGTCTGTTTTAGAAGCTGATACATCTTCACTTAATTTATCTTTTAAAAGTTGAGGTTCCCTCAGAGGCCCCTCTGCGCTATGAATCGCTCTGGGTTATGAATCACTTCCTTCGCTGGAGGCGGAAGAATGAGTTGGGGGGAACATGATGTGATGGGGTTGAAGGTGTTGACCTTCATCTGCACTCTTCCGTGTTCCGCATATTACACCTACATGTATTACAGAGAGCAATTTTGTCCTTAGCCCTTAAAATTATTGGTGAAATACTAAAAGTTTACGCGATTGATAAAGAAATTGGAAAATAACTGAGCTGTTAAAACACCATTTTGCCCTCCATGAAGGTACTTCATTCATGCGGAAAATGGGAGTGGCAGCTCTTTCACAACCATAACAAACGCATTTTGTTATTTATAAGGTTGAAATGGGTCAACTCTTAATCTTCCAGATAATAAGGTTTCACATACTTTGCTTTTTTCCCTCTGGACTTACTTGTGGACTTGCATCAGAATCTCCAGTAATGGTGCTCACAGGATATGAAAAAGATGAAACCAGTCGTTTGTAGCCTAAGAACAAAATTTCCTTATTTTCACTAAAGTGAGGGCTAAGGATTACTTATTAAATTAACAAACTACGTTGTTATAACCTAGCATGACCACATGGTCTCTGAATTATACTCTCATCTAATTATATCATTGTCTTTTACACAGACCTCAGAGTTGGGTGTCACAGAACATGTTGAAGGAGATCCCTGCAAATTTGCACTGTGGGTCGGGAGGACGCCAACTTCAGATAATAAAATTGTCCTTAAGGTACGTCCATGGGGAGCTTGGGGCTATGCTCTGTGACATGTTTATTGTGGCAATGAATGCTTTATTTTTTCCTGTGGTTGAAACTGTTGGTTTTCATATCACTTTATGTGTTACTTTGATGTTCTGTTGGGATTAGTGATTACCACAAGAACCGTAGAATAAATTCAGTTTGGTATTCCAGGGATGAAATAACGTGAGCTAAACTTTTGCTTGCTTACTCAAATCAAATGGAGCAAGTCTTCAAACTTTTCCTGTACTTCCAGTCTGGAAAAGAATTGTTCATTCCCTGAGAGATGCAGGAAGTTCAGGTCCAGGAGGACAGAGATGGGCCCACAGCTTCCATGCACACTGTGGTTTTAGAGGGAAGGGGGCACCTGGTGGAGTGTGATGGCCTTGGACAGTTTCAAGGCTGAACATGCCAGCCGTCTCCATAGGGTCCTGGGCTCTTTGGCTTTCCAATTTGGGGGCAGAGGAAAAGGGGGGATAGTGATCAGCTACATGGGTTTTATGTAATGTTTTGATTTCAAGTGTTTAAAAGACACTAAGGGCACTTTGAGGTATCTAGTCTTTGGGGGAGGAAAGTATCTTTGAATATTTGATTTGAACTCTGTCTTGAATACACTACCCTCTCCTAAGAGTGGCAAAGGGCTCTAGGGGTGTCGTAATGTACTTCCCTCCTTCTGTGTTTGAGAAAATACAGATGGAACTGTCTGTTTGAGCTGTCTGGAAAGACCATAATTGACTTAAGGATGTTCTGGGGAAGATGTAGACAACGATTTGTAGGATATTGGGAGACAAGCCAAAAGCGTAATGGGCCTCTGGTGTGTGAACTTGCATGTCAGCGATTTTGCCTTACATTCCTTTAAATCTCTATGGTATTTCCAGCAACCCCAGGTTATTCAGCAGCGTGTCACTCTTATAGAGCCGCTGACTGTTACACCAGTGCGTTTTAAGGTGTTTACTCACACAGAAATGAGGAATTGTTTTGCAATGAATGTATGATTACCAACCCAGTGTGTTCTTGTTAGTACTGGCAGAAAGCCCTATAAAACATAAATTGCACTGTTAGCTAAATATTAGATAACTGAACTTTACTAAGGCATAAAAAAATTTTTTTAATTGTTTTATTGCTTAAAGTATTACAAAGGGTATTACATATGTCTCCTTTTTTCCCCGCCCTTGACAATCCCCTGGCCTCCCCTACCCCCAGTGTCTTATGTCCATTGGTTATGCTTATATGCTAAGGCATAAAATTTTAAAGTATCCTCAAGATGTTAAAACTTCCAACTTATATTAAGTGTTTATCTAGATTAGCTGCAGTGACATATGCCAAAGGGTGTATCTAAGAAATAGTGCCAGATATTTTAGCCAGTTATGGATTACTTTCATTTGGGACATAATAAAATACTCATGATGCAGTTGAACAAAAGACTTCCTGTGGGCTTTACCAGATGACAGTTTTCTAGGGAGTTTTGAGTAATATTTTTCTGACTTCCAAGAAGAGATTAAACAAAATGATGTTCTCATTAATTTTAGAGATTGCTTTGTGGTGATGACACTAGTGTGAATGGTGATGACAGTGGATATTGAGGTGGTGGCAGTGGAAATGGTGATGGTGGTGATGGTGATGGTGGTGGTGGTGGTGGTGGTGGAGATGGTGGTGGAGATGGTGGTGGATGGAAATGATGGTGGTGGAGATGGTGATGGTATAAATGTTGGTGGAGATGGTAGCGTTGATGGTGGCAGTGGTGGTGGTGATGGTAGTGAAGATGGTGGCAGCGGTAGTAGAGATGGTGAGGTGGTGGTGGTGGAGGAGATGGTGGTGGATGAAAATGATGGTGGTGGAGATGGTGATGGTATAAATGGTGGTAGAGATGAGTGTAAGTGATGTGATAGTTGAGAAAATGTTTTGGTGGTGGTGGTAGTAGAATGTGGTGGTGATGGAGGTGGTCACTGTCATAGTTGTCATGGCAATGATGCTGATGGCCTGGTAGTTGAAAAACAAAATGTGGTCTTTTTTTTACTTTTATAGTCTGCAAGGGAGAATTCTATTTCTAAATCCTTCCTTAAATGGATTGAGACTACTAGGAGGATCATCCTCTATAAATGTAATGATAAATTCGCTTTATATCATGAGAATTTTCTTTATTTCTGAACCATAGTAACAGTTTTCCTGATTTGTCTCCAAACTTGGCCAGATGTTTTTCCTCAGATACTTCTCTTTGTGTAGCCTCTGAACATTTGTACCAGGCATTTAAATTCCAGTAGGTCTGTGTGTTCAAGTTTTCCACCCTGAGACGCTTATTGCATGCACAAACTCCCCTGCTCCCTGATCACGCTGCTCCGACCCCAAAGTCAGCGTGACTGCTCTCCTGGCATCAGATTCCAGAATGGGAGCAAAAGGCCCCATTTATCCTTTATTTGCCCATTACTGTCCCTCAATAACTTTAAAGCCATATCCTCCAGTTAAAGCATTTTATTTAGAGAGTTCTCAATTTTAATTTCCTTTCCCACCATGGGCTTTGGCTTTCTAGTTTCAAAATAAGGCCCACCATGAGGACATGGTGGGTTCCCCTCCCTATGTGATCTCATCTACAATCCCACTGACGATTGTTTTAATCATTTACAGGGAATCATGTTTATATCATAGGAGGCTGATGTTTTCCATAAGGAAATTAAAACTGTTACTAAGGCCCAGGGCGTGTAAACGGAACACAAAGCGCCCCTTTGAGGCAGTGAGAGAAAAACCTGGGCGGAGTCACGCCATGTGTGTTCACTCAGCAGATGCTTGCTGAGGGCCTACCCCGTGCCATGTCCAGAGAACCTTTCTCCATGGGTATAATAAAGTCCAGGGCAATCCACCACGTGGAACTGGCAGTAGGATACACTCGTTTATTTAGCGGTTTATTCCCATTTACAGCTAGGGGCCATGAGTGCAGAGCTGGGGCAGGTTCTGTCCTGTGCGCTGGGAACTGCAGCCTCACCTGCTGGCGGTGGGACCGGCATTCTCTGTGTCCACGCCACAGTCCCTCGTTTCACACGAGGGTAAGGGAGCCCGAGGACACTCGTGCCTGTGGAAATGTGGCGGCTGCAGCTGCTGTCCGATGAGTCCTGTGACGGGCAGCATGACCTCAGGCTCAGGGTCCATGGACACTTGGCCAGCCACTGACCACTCCTCTTGACCTGAGTTGCCTCAGAACAGCTTTGGTTTGGGCTGGCTGTGTTTTCACGTCATCCTGGGGCCAGGAAATGATCGGTGATTAGAATATCCACTGATGTGGAATAACATAAGTGCTATAAAATAAAAATGGTTTTGATTAAAAAACATTCAAAACTAGGGTCATTTATTTGGTGGCATATTAAACATAGGATGGGCTGCTTTTCTGCTGGAAAGCCATGTTTAAAATGGAAAGCTCCAGCGATGCGAGGCCTGCGTGGTTGGGGCAGGATCTGACGGGTTCTCGCACCGGTTCAGGCTTCCAGCATCGAGAACAAGCAGGACTGGATAAAGCACATCCGGGAGGTGATCCAGGAGAGGACCATCCACCTGAAAGGCGCCCTGAAGGAGCCCATTCACATCCCCAAGACAGCCCCGGCCGCGCGGCACAAGGGCAGGCGGTGAGTGTGCGCGGGAGGTTTGGCTTGTTTATTTAATAGGGAAGGAACAAGGCAGTGTTAACGTAATATTTTTCAAAAGTCTTTTTTCTCAGACATTTGGAGGAATATGGTTTTTAAACATAGTTTATTCTTAGCAATGAAATTGCTTCGTCAAGACAAGACCCTGCTTCCGCTTAGAGTGCAGGCTGTGTGCGAATCTCTGGCCATTTTGCCTTTCCCACCCAGTGGTGGGTCCATCCGGGCACATGTGCGAATCTACACATTTCTGGAAATAATCATGTCAACTCTATTTTTTATTATGTGAATTAAATGGAATGATCTATGTTAGATACTTAGCCCAATGCCTGCAGAAAGCCTGTGCTTAGCAGTCAAATCCGCGTTAACACAGGGGAGGTAGCAGCTGTCACGAAGACTGACTTGCACCCCTTGAAACGCAGCCATTCTTTCTCCAATGACGGGTGGACAAGCCTGACCAGTGTAGAATAAAAAGCCAGCAGAGTCAGGAATTAAAAATGTCCTGTGTCTCCAGGGACGGAGAGGATCTGGACAGCCAAGGCGACGGCAGCAGCCAGCCCGACACAATCTCGATCGCCTCCCGGACGTCGCAGAACACACTGGACAGCGATAAGGTACGCTGCAGCTAGCCTGCACTGGGACGCGAGTGCAGCCTGTCTGGTCTGACGGGAAGTAGCCTCGTTCTGTCTGTAAGTGACAGTTGTCATCAACATTTCAAACAGCTGCTCTGTGCTGAGAGCGGTGCCAGCACCGGTGCCAGGGCGGAGACTGGAGGCTTCAGGGTTAGAAGACGTTTACCCTGAGGATTCAAACAAACCACTTGCCGTTCCCAGTGCTCTGCCTGTTCTATCAGGTGTCCCTGGCAGGGTGTTTAGCTTTTTCATTTTATATTAAGCAGAAGAACCTGTTGTTTTAAAGCAGTATAACAGAGAGCCCTGGTGCATAAAAGTGGAGCTATTCTGGTTGAAGCAGGGACATGACTCCTTCCACTTGGCCCTGGGGCGCCTTCCAGACACAGGAAGTGCGCCTGGACTGGGCCCGCGGCTGCGCCGACCGCCAGTAAGCTAGATCTGATTTGTGTCAGAGTCCACAGCGGTGGCCTGCAGTATCCCAGGATCCTGTCTTGTGGAGTCAAAACGCCTGCAGAATAAGTAGGCAGGAGAAGCTGGGCTCCTGGGCTTACACGATGCCCAGGTGTCCTCGGAAAGCCCGTGGGGGACATTCATCTCCACCACGTCTGTTCCAACTGGGATGAGCACCTGCGTGCTCTTTCCTAGACATGAACCAGATTTTAAAACAAAAATTATTTGACAGAGAATAGGGGTTCAGAAGTCCTGGGTTCTCTCTGCCTGGTGCGAGCTGTGCTTCCTCGTGTGAGACCTTCATCTGGGTCGTGAGATGCAGGAGCTCTTGGTAACACCTTCCAGGGCCCGCTCATGCGCGGGAAGGAAGTGCCCTGACCTCACTGCATTTGGGAGTGGTTGGCGGCAGAGAGGGAGTCCCACAGCGGGCTACTTCAGGTGGCAATCCTTACAGCCCCAGACCTCGGTCTTTTCTCACTAAGTTTTACAGAAGAATTCATGGTATTTAAATGTCATTCCCAAGACACAAGTAAGTATATTCTAAAATACAGCTTTTCTACAATGATTTCATTTTCAAAATGCTTCTAGTTTGAGTAATTAGTTGTTTCTTTTTCTTCTTTTTGAGTTCTCTTAATAGTTAGTCCTGGAACTTCAAATACTTAGAATATAAGGACTGAAGCATAAAAACAACGTCTCGTTTTATTTTGCTCCAAGCTCAGTGTATGAGAATTCAGCAAATATTGCTTGCCAGTAGTAATAATGAGGAATAAGATAAATTACGTGTTCAGGCTTGTAGTGCTTAATGGCATCTCTCCCTGCGGCCCCACCCCAGAGCCGCTGAGTTAAGAAAATGAAGTTTGAGCCTGGAATCATTTCATTAGAGTAATTCTGATTATTTTCTTTTTTAAAAGATAGCAATTGAAGTGATTGAGTAATTTAAGTACTCTGTTTACATAAGAATTATAGTAATAGTTCTTAGTAGTTATGGGAGCTAACAGACGCTCAAGTTGAGGGCAAAGGCCCCTTCATTCAGACTGTCTCACAGCCTCGCCTTGGTGAGAATCACCCCTCCAGCACTAGGTCCATCCGGCCCCAATTCACCTTCTTACCACATACATTCTCATGGATCTGGACTGGGTTTATCAGAAGTGAGTTTAAAGTTGTTTTTTAAGTTTTTTGGATGACATTGCCAAAGAGATAAATAAATGCAAAAAGTTCTGCCTTTTGGAAGGTGTGTTAAGACTTTTCTGGAGGTTGGTCCAAGAAGAAAGGCTGACTTAGTCTCTTCATGGGGTTTATGTATAAACTAGAGGCCCAATGCACGAAAATTCATGCGAGAGTAGGCCTTCCTTCCCCCGGCTGCTGGCACCAGCTTCCCTCCGGGACCCGGGCCCCTGGCTTCCCTCCTCCAGCCGCCAGCAGGCACCCATGACCTAGGCTGCTTCCCTACCCCGGCCACTGGCAGGCACCCGGGACCAGGCTGCTTCCCTCTTCCGGCTGCCAAGCAGGTACCCAGGACCAGAGCTGGCTTCCCTCGGGCTGCCCGCAGGCAGCTGGGACCTGGGCTGGCTTCCCTCTGCCCCGGCTTCGTCAGGAAGGATGTCTGAAATGATGTCGGTCTAATTAGCATACTACCTTTTTATTATTATAGATGGGTGTGGTGGGAGCCTGGAAATACTCCCTGGATGTAGTAAGGGCTCCCGAGGTGCCTTCTCACCATAGAGAACTCGAGTGCTAGCATCCCCATACATTCCTGGTCCCTGGAGGCATGGCCAACAAGTCCACAGGAGGGTACACACAGAAATAAGGCTCTATCCTGGAGTTAGGAATCGCATTACTAGCTCTGCTTCGGATCTGTTATGGCTTAATAAATAGGCTTATGTGAACTTGGAACTGAGCCTGCACAACTCCAGTAGGAAAAGCAGGCATCGTCCTAAGGGCTGATGCCATTAACAGCAAATTCTATTTGTAACCAATGAAAGAGGAAGAATAAATCACTGTGAGAAAAGTGTAGGTTTGCAGAAATTGATCATTCTACCTGGATTAGGATTTTTAAAGAACTGCCTATTAAATATTTTAGGTAATTCACCAATTTCTGTTTTTCTCATCTAATGTGTAGCTCTGTGACCCCGACAGGCCCACTTCTGTGAAGGCAGCCACGCCCCCCACCCCCAGCCCCGGGGAGGCTGTGACAAAGCCTGTCACTCAGCAGCACCCAGCTAAACACTCCCCTGATTCCTACCCGTCCTGAAGGAATGCCACTCAGGACTGAGGTGTTGTAAGTGGGTGTGGCACTAGTTCCTGATACCCCTCACGTGACCACAGGTCCTTCATGGGCTCCAAAGTGTGAGGAAGGATGAAAGGGCTTCCCCAGGTCGTAGAATTGCAGCGGGTTCCTTCTTCAGTTCCTGGGTCTGCACGTGGGACGCGCATAAACAGCATGTGAGGCTTAAAGTCAGACTTTGGGGTTTGGAGAGGACACACCCACGAGGCCTTGGAAAGAAGCGCGTGTTCCCTCCACACGCCCGCATTTGTGTCCTCTGCTGGGGGCTTTCTTGCGGCCATCTCCCTCTTACCCCTCTCTGGCAGAGCATTTCGGGTCAGCAGATGATTCAGGAGAAAACATTCTCAAAAGTAGGAAACTGCTTTCTTTCCTGAGTCATTTTGCAAAATGTGCAGTTTCCCTGAACTTGGCTGCACCAGAACCCCACCCCCCCTCCCTCCAGGGCAGTAACTTTTCATATGTCTCGAGGTCCTTTCCACCATCCATTTTTCAAGTTTAAACAGCCTCTGAGGACCCGGGTAGACAGCTCCGACAAGGGAAATTACTTAACCATATTCCGTCTCTGACTTAATTTATCATGTCTGTTGTGAGTTAGTTGTTATCGTGGAATTTGGTTCCATTTCAGAAACTGGGTGGGAGGCTCTTTTTGACTCAGGCTCTTGGAGAATCCGTAAGTAAATGTTACCTGCCAGAGCTGCGTAACCCTCCAATGGGGCGCAGGATGCTCTGGGAGGAGTCTGTTAAAGGGGGGCGCCCAGAGACACCCTCTTCCCAGGGAGCGCTGTCAGAATCGCTGAGTGGGCCGCTCAGAGATACAAACCACATGCCCCCACCGGTACATTCCCTTCTCTGGAAACACCAGTTTTAAAAGATGCCATCTCTGTCCCACAGTGAGTTTGGCACCGATGCTTGCCCATATTCATAGTACTTATGCTGATAAAAATGATCTTATGAAAATATAATTTCGGTTCCAAAGAAATCAAGTGCCTGCCAGACCCTTATCTCATTGGTCCCGAGCATGTCCCGAGAGGTAGGGAGGAGCGTGCCGAGCCAGCCTGGGCGGTGAGGAAGTGGCAGAGGCCAGCTGACCCGCCGGCCACCCAGCGCTAGAGCGCTAACGCCAGAAACGGAATGTGGGTTTAATTACCCGTCGGTATCAAGGCCTCTTTATTTCACACTGGAGCCGAATATGAAGGAACTATTTTTTAGTATAAAAAGCAGCATTTTAAAACTTTTTAGAAAACATGGACCCAAACACAGGCTGCTGTAGAACAGATGAGGTGTGTATGGGGAGCTGCCCGAGCCAGCAGGAGCAGGCGTGAGCTCTGCTGGACCTGAGGGGGTCTGTTCTCTTTGGGTGCCTGAGACACTCAGTGGAGACAGACTTGGCATGAACTGCCGGAGCTCATTATAATAGGAATATGGGAACCCATGTATTTGGAAGTATAATGGATTCAGTCCCTCCTACCACAGCCATCGCACTGTGCTGGGGACCTGAGCTTTCATGTGGCTTAAAAGATCAACCACCGTTCTCTGTGAAGTAACCTTCTACACCACAGGAACTGGGCTGGGTTTACGGAAAGTGCAGTGTTGAGAGCGTGTATAAAGCGGTTAATGCCAGTCCATCTTCGCATGGCACAGACAGGAGCACAGGGAGCCCTGGTTCTTTGCTCGGCCCTCTCTCCTCTGGCCGACGGTGCTGGAAGCAAGGGCACCTTTGCCCAGAGGAGGCACTCAACTCACTGCCAGCCTTGCCAGGGCACCCGGCCTCCCAGGACCCCATGTAGGGCTGCCCCATGCAGACATGCAACTGAGTCATTTAATTCAGAGCCGTTCTACAGGATGGCACATGGTTTTAATCTCCTCAGGCAGAATACTCCAGATGCCACTAGCCTCCTCTGCTCAGAGTGTAACCGGTACAAGCAAACAGGTCCTGCGTAACGCCATTTCTTTCAACATCATTCTTTTTTTTAATATATTTTTTATTGATTTTAGAGAGGAAGGGAGAGGGAGAGAGAGATAGGAACATCAATGATGAGAGAGGATCATTGATCGGCTGCCTCCTGCAAGCCCCTCACTGGGGATGAAGCCCGCAACCCCGGCTTGTGCCCTTGACTGGAATCGACAACATCGTTCAGTTATAAGGTTGATGGGATAGCGTGGGAGCCTCGCTCTTGTTTATCACAGTTAGCCTGTGGCAAACGTGGTCTCACTGTACCTCGTGTCACTTAAAGTCACAGAGCCTGTC